CTACAAATAGAACTACCATATGATCCAGCAATCTCACTCCTTGGTATCTATCCAAAGGACAGAAGAATTCTTAGTCAGAAAAGTGCCTGTACATAGCTGTTTATTGTGGCATTATTCATAACTGCTAAGACATGGAACCAACCCAAAAGTCAATGAACAGAGGAATGGATTGAAAAACTGTGGCACATATACTCTATGGAATACTACTCAGCCATAAAAAAACAAGACCCTGGCTTTTGACAGAAAGTGGATGATTATGGAAGATTTACTGCTGAGTGAAGCAAGCCAGACTATGAAGGAGAGACTTTATATGTCTCCACTTAATATGTACTGACTGTCTGCACTCTATGGCCAAAACTGAATGACTAGAGAATATAGAAACATAAAAACTGGTTATAGATACCAGATACAGTGTGGGAAGAGGGTGGGCAAAGGAGGAGAGTCTGAGTAAAGACATTAAGGAGAAAAAATAGAGAGGTGAGGTATTTATTGGACAAAGAAATGGGTTATTATCTTTTGAAGATAACGTGCATAGTATTCTCAACTGGATTGATGAGAAATGTATACATGTTGGAATATTCATTTTACAAGCTAGGTGATGTGTGATTGTATAAAAGAAATTGAAATAAAGAATATTTTAAAACTAAATAAATGAATAACACATGGATAAAAGAAAAAAATCACAAATAAAATTGAAAATACTCTGCACTAAATGATAATGAAAATACAATGTAACAAAATTTATGCAATACAGGTAAAACACAGTATAAAGGAACATTTATAGTTTTAAAGGCTTACATCAGGAAAGAGTAATTTAAAAATCAGTGGCTAAGGTTCCACTTTAAGAAAATAAAGGATTCTAAGTCCAAAGTAGGTATAAGGAAAAATAATGAGCAGAAATCAATGAAATGAACATAAATTACCAATTTCAACAATGAAAGAGGGATATTATGAAATCTACAGATATGAAAAATTAAGAGCCATATGAACAACCTGTGCCAGTAAATTCAATAATTTAAATGCATAAATTATGTAAAAATATAATTGACCAAACACAGGATGAAATATAAAATCTGAGAAGTTCCCTATCTCTTTAGGAAACAATGCTTTGTATCAAACATTTAAAAAAGAGTTAACTACCAACTATACACAAAATTTCTGCCAGAAAATCCAGGATAAAAAATATTGAACTTTTTTCTATGAGGGTAACACAGTACCAATACTAAATCCTGACAAAATCATTATAAGAAAGAAAAATACAAGCTAACATACTTCAAATTCATAGTTGTAAAAATTCTTTTTTTAAAATTCTTCTTTTTAAAGAATTATTTTTAATTCAATTTTATTCATCATCAACTTTTAAAGAGGTTTTTGCCTTAGGGCATGTGTGCTCACCACAGAGAGAGACAGATAGCGAGAGGGAAATTGAGAAATCCCCCCCCCCCCCCCGGGAGGGATTTCTGGGGGTATTTATCTGCCATGCTGTAATCCCTTGTCCTCCATTTTTCTCTGGGGAACTTGGGCACACACATCCAGAGTGATTCTAAAACCACCGGGTTCAGGACTCAAACTGCAGCCAGTCATGCGCAAGTCCAGTGACATAACTGCTACACCATCTGCTGGTTCCATTATTACTTTTTAAAAAACTGAACGAGAGAAAGAAAGAGCAAGAAAGAGAGAAAGAGAAAGTGAGAAAGCAAGCGGTCAGGACAGGGTCTCAAACTGCAGCTGGCCGTGTGAGCATGTGGTGCCTTAACCACTACACCACCTGTTAGCCCAGATGTAAAATTCTTAACACAATAGCAAATCAAATTTTGTAATACATAATCAAGTGAGATTATATCAGGATTATAAAATTAAATAAACATTAGAAAATTAATCAATGCAATTTACCAATTTAACAGAATAAAAGAACTAAATTGTCATTTCAATTTATGTAGAAGAAAGCATTTCATAAGACTCAATACTATTTATGAAAAAAAGTCTCAGGAAACTAGGAATATAAGCAAACTTCCTGAACCTGACTGCTGACATTTTTTAAAAAAAAAGTACAGCTAAAATTATATTCAATGGTAACTCCGAAAACACTTCCTCTAAGACTGGAAATAAATTTTAAAAATGCTTGTTTTCATCATACTCAACATTATATGGAATGCCTCAGCCAGTATATTAAGAGAAAAAAAAGCATAAAAAAATGAAAGAAGCAAATCTATCCCTACATACAGATGAAATAATTATGTAGAAAGTCCCAAGCAATCACCAAAAACCTACCAGTAAATTTAGAAGTGCCTCAAAGTATATAATAAATAGTAACTTACTGAAAATCAATTCTGGGGGCCAGCAGATGTAGTTACACTGCCAGACTCCAACATAGCTGACTACAGTTTGAGTCCCAGGCCCAGTAGCTTGAAACTCATGCCTGGCAGGGGTCATCAGATTATATAGAGGTTATGTAGCTGGACTCCACACAGTTGACCACGATATGAGTCCCAGACCCAGTGGTTTAAAACTCAAGCCAGGGGCATGTGAGTGCATGCCCAAGATCTGAGGAGGCGAATGGAGGAAAAGGGATTGCAGCAAGGTCATCCCCCCCACAGGGTGATTTCTCACTTTTCCTCTCACTGTCTCTGTCTCTCTCTGCCCAGCAATCACACGTGCACTAAATTAAAAACCTCTTAAAAATTGCTTTCAAGTTTAGAACCAAATAGAATATAATATTTATAGGGACCAGCAGACAGCATAATAATTATGTTGCTGGACTCCCATGTAGTCAAATGCAGTTCAAATCCTAGACCTGGCAACTTGAAACCCACGCTGGGCGTATGTACAAGCATGCCCAAAATACCAAGAGGAGGAGGATGGAGGAGAAGGAATTGTGGTATGGCTATCCTCCCTGGGGGGGGGGGCGGGG